GGAAGGCACTGCACTTCTCATTACAGAAGTACCTGGTAAATACTGTTTTAATCTCCTCCCAGCTAGCCAATCAGCAAGTGTAAAAAGCACTACTTACTTTTAACATGTTGTAAATTACACTAGTGCCTTACACTTTAACTCTTACATGACATACCTCGCACTGTATCAAAATATCATGTCCAATTTGAATTGCTACTGTTCTGGATTTACTAGCCTGTCACACATGTGATGATCCTTTTGTGTTTCTACATGAAGACAAGGCAAGTAATTGCAGAGCAATGGTAATTCAAGCTGGACTCTATATTTTGAGTCAGTGCACATTTGAGGGAAATATAAGATATACTAACAGCTTCTCTTTTACTGAAGTTTTTTCTAAGTGTTAAAGATTGCTTCAAATCATGCCATGTTTCATAGTTTTCCATAAGATTGCTCTACAGTATTCAAAATATTTGATATTTTGTCATAAAAGGTTGGAGAAATGCAATATATGATAACACTGTGTAATTACATAACTTACCACTTTTTTATATAATTAATAAATGCAATCAAAACAAAGTTAGAAGTCAGTTTGCTTGCTTTTCCTTGTTCCTCTTTTCCCTCATCAATCACAATCTATATATCTCTTATTGTTTAGTAGTATGAGTTCTCTCGCTTGTTCAATAAATGTACAGTAAAACAATTCATACGAATTTTCAAATTGCTTTCCTCAGGGAGAGAACTTCTTCATCCTTTTTTTTACCTGCCCACCTAACACTATCTATTTAACTTTTTTCTCAATTTTTAAGGTCATCGATTATAATCATAACATGTTTCATTTAGTGGTTTTTTCATTACATTGTTCATCACAGTATGTGGAAGCTTCAATATTGTGCCACAAAAGGTTGAAGAAATGCAGTGAATTAAACAGGTAACATTCTTTCACTTAATGTTCAAGTGCCTGTCAGATGCAATCAAACCAAACTGAGTTGTGACTACATTGGTGAGCTTTTCTCTTATTCTTCTTCTTCCTCATCAATTAAAATTTATTAACATGTACCTCCTCACCACATCAAAACAAGAAGGCACTTTGTTTCTCATTACAGAGGTACCTGGTAAACACTGTTTTAATCTCCTCCCAGCTAGCCAATCAGCAAGGGTAAATGGCACTACTTATTTGACATGTTGTAAATCACATCTTCGCTTTAACTCTTATATGTAACATATCTGAGGGAAATGTAAGATACTGACTGCTAGCTTTTCTTGTACTGGGGCTTAATTTTTCTTAGTGTTGAAGATTATTCAAAATCATGAGATGTTTCAAAGTTTTCCATTACATTGCTTATCGCTATTCAGAAACTTTGATATTTTTTCATAAAAGGTTAGAGATATGCAGTGTAAGGTAACATTATGAAATTAAATAGCTTACCTCTTGACGCCTTTCCTGAAATGAAATGCAAAAGCCAAAGTTAGTTGTCACTTTGTCTTCTCTTGTCCCTCGTCTTCCTCACTGATCAAAATTTGTATATTTCTTATTGCTTATTGGTCTGAGATCTCCCACTAGTACAAAAACTGTACAGTAAAACAATTTATAAGAATTTCCATATTACTTTCCGCAGGGGAGAACTTCTCAATGCTTTTTTTACCTGCCCATCTGGTGCTTCCTATTTTATTTTTTTTTTGGTCGTTTTAAAAATCACTGCTTGTAATCATAACATGTTTCATTGTTTTTCACTACATTGCTCATTCTTTGCTCTTGTTCAAGTGCCTGTGATGCAATCAAACCAAACTTAGTTCAGTTTTTTTGGTAAGCTTTTCTCTTATTCCTCCTCTTCCTCATTAATCCAAAATTTATTACATGTAACATGTACCTCCTTGCCACAGCAAAACAGGAAGGCACTGTGTTTCTCATCACAGAGGTACCTGGTAAACAGGTAACATCTCCTCCCAGATAACCAATCAGCAAGGGTAAAGAGCACTACTTATTTGATANAAATTACACTAGTGTCTTACACTTAAACTCTTACATGTACCTCGCACTGTATCAAAATATCATGTCCAATTTGAATTGCTACTGTTCTGGATTTACTAGCCTGTCACACATGTGATGATCCTTTTGTGTTTCTACAAGAAGACAAGGCTAGTAATTCCAGAGCAATGGTACTTCAAGCGGGACTCTATATTTTGATTCAGTGCATATTTGAGGGAAATATAAGACACTAACACCTTCTCTTTCACTGAAGTTTTTTCTAAGTGTTAAAGATTGCTTCAAATCATGTACAGTAAAACAATTAATAAGAATTTTCCAATCGCTTTCCTCGGGGAGAGAACTTCTTGATCCTTTTTTTTACCTGCCCACCTAACACTATCTATTTGACTTTTTTCTCAATTTTTAAGGTCATTGATTATAATCATAACATGTAGAAGCTTCAATATTCTGTCACAAAAAGGTTGAAGAAATGCAGTGAATTAAACAGGTAACATTCTTCACTCGTTCAAGTGTCTGAGATGCAATCAACCCAAACTGGGTTGTGACATTGGTGAGCTTTCCTCTTATTCTTCTTCTTCCTCATCAATTAAAATTTACTAACATGCACCTCCTCACCACAGCAAAACAGGAAGGCACTGTGTTTCTCATTACAGAGGTACCTGATAAACACTGTTTTAACCTCCTCCCAGCTAGCCAATCCGCAAGGGTAAATGGCACTACTTATTTGACATGTTTTAAATCACATCTTCACTTAAACTCTTACATGTACCATATTTGAGGGAAATGTAAGATACTGACTGCTAGCTTTTCTTTTACTGACAGAGGATTTTTCTTAGTGTTGAAGATTATTCAAAATCATGAGATGTTTCAAAGTTTTCCATTACATTGCTTATCGCTATTCAGAAACTCTGATATTTTTTCATAAAAGGTTAGAGATATGCAATGTAAGGTAACATTATGAAATTACATAGCTTACCCATTCTTGTTACACATTTCTTAAAAATTAATTACAACATGTTTCATAGTTTCTCATTAGATTGCTTAAAAGTATTCAGAAACTTTGATATTTTGTCTTAAGAGGTTGAAGAAATGCAATGCAAGGCAAAATCACATAATTACATAACTTACCTGAGAGTCACTTATCTGAAATGACTGCAATGAAACCAAAATTAGATGTCAGTTTACTTTGCTTTTCCTAATTGTTCGTCTTCTCTGTTATTGATTACAATTTATTTATAAATAATATCTCTTGCAGCTTGTGGCTCTGAGATCTCTCACTAGTACAAAAAATGTACAAGAAAACAATTAATAAGAATTTCCATATTGCTTTCCTTAGGAAGAGAACTTCTTAATGCATTTTTTGAATCTGCTCATCTGGTGCTTCCTATTTGATATATTTATTTTTCTTTGTTTTAAAGATCATTGCTTATAATCATAACATTTTTCATTTTAGTTTTCCACTACATTGTTCATTATAGTATGCAGAAGCTTTGATATTCTGCCATAAAAGGTTCATTCACTTGTTCAAGTGCCTATGTTGCAATCAAACCAAACTGAGTTGTGACATTGGTAAGCTAATTCCTCATATTCCTCTTCTTCCTAATCAGTCAAAATTTATCAACACGACGTACCTCCTCACCACAACAAAACAGGTAGGCACTGTGTTTCTCATTACAGAGGAACCTGGTAAACACTGTTTTAATCTCCTCCCAGCTAGCCAATCAGCAAGGGTAAATGGCACTACTTATTTGACATGTAAGTTGTAAATCATATCTTCACTTAAACTCTTACATGTACCATATTTGAGGGAAAGGTAAGATACTGACTGCTAGCTTTTCTTTTACTGACAGAGGCTTTTTCTTAGTGTTGAAGATTGTTCAAAATCATGAGATGTTTCAAAGTTTTCCATTACATTGCTTAACGCTATTCAGAAACTTTGATATTTTTTCATAAAAGGTTAGAGATATGCAATGTAAGGTAACATTATGAAATTACATAGCTTACCCTTTCAAGCCACCTTTCCTGAA